GCAGCACCGCTGCTTGTTGAGAGTAAGAGCAACACGCCCTTTCACGTCAAAAAGCCGTCATAAATAAGTCTTCAATAACACCAGAAAAAGTCGCCAGATTTGTTGCTAGTCGCTTTTTAGAAAAAAAAAAAGTCGTTAAGGGGTCTGAAAAGTCGCTAAATATAGCGACAAAGTCGCTAAGTTGGCAACACTGCACTTGAGTGTAAGCAGGTAATTTTTACACTTGAAACGAGTCCTTACATCAGCTGGGGCGCCAGTTACAAAAATAACCAGTTTGAGACTTTCCCCCATAACGATCAACTAAACTTCCACGTGATAAACCATCTTTTCCGACGAAGCTGCTTCCCACTCCCTCTGGTAAAGCGTCTTTGCATCGCCTCACATCCCACTGAGAGATGGAGGTGGTAGGAAGTATCTGCACGGCTAAATATTATGATGATAATCCACAGCGATAACCCAATCAGTAACAGTGGGAGTGACCACCAGAGAAAAAACAGGCCAGTGTCAGTGGACAGACATGTGGAGCCGCCGGCAGCTGTGACACACAGAAACACAGCATCGACCTGCAGTTCAACCCACTCTCACTCGAGTGTCTGCCTGCATGAAGAAAGACAGATGTGGCACAAACTGACACACTGCCTAACATTACTAAAGCTCTGATTGCTTTTTTAAAAAGGTCTGTTAGGAACATTTTTCAGAATGTGTACATCAGGTTTAAACCACCGCACTTTTGCACTGGGAGATGTTATGTGGTGTTTTCTGCTTTTTGCAGGCTGGTTAGTCTCATCTCCTTGGGAAAGCGAGCAAGCAGACAGCTTGGTCTCTCACTGTCACAAAGCATCCATTTACAGGCTCGTGGTACAGGGTAAATGCAGGTCAGCAGTGAAATGTGCTGCTTTGTGATGCATAAACAAAGTTGTAGCTCACTGATTCGTTAGAGAGGGGATCTGCTTGGGGGCCTTGGGTAAAGAGGACGTCTGCAACACACCGTGACCACGAAACACGAGACGCGTGCACAAAAACTGCAGTAAAATGAATTCACGTCCCAGCTGAGCTATTTCGCAGAAGGGGAATCTAGACAGTTGCTTCTGTTTCCACATAGAGCCAGAATTCCTGGAGGCCAGTGGGAAAAAGTGACATTTAGAAGGTGAATTCCAGTGCTCGTGCACTAAATCTGCAGCTGACATTCAATAATTCATGCTAACAAGGACCGCGCTGTCTCCTTACATTGCCCTCAAACAATTTCATTCCCCAGAACGCCGCCTTCTTCTTGTCAACTCCAATTCAGCAAAGAAAACAAGTAATTATTGAAATTATAGCCAGCTGAACAGGTATTTTGTGACAAAACTTACATGACTGGAAGAAAATGCCCTGAAGCTAAACAGAGTCAGAATGATTTCGTTTGAACGGCCTGCAAAGACCATTTACACGACGTCGAGGCATCGAAAAGCAAACGTTTATACTGGGGCCAGCTTCACTGTTACAGGCAGACAGGTATGATTCCCAGTTTTACAACTGGACTCCTCCATCTACAGACGCCAGAGGTGGGAAGTAATGAAGTACAAATACTTTTTTACTCGAGTAGAATTTTCAAGAATCTGTACTTTAGTTGAGTAGTTTTTTCTTCTGACACCATTGAATTTTTACTCCCTGCATTTCTAAAAACATACATATGTTCTTTCTCCTCTTTACATGATACAGCTTTTATCAGTGAGGGTGGGAAAACAAGTCTCCCTCACTCAGCACTGGAGCACCACAGGGCTGTGCTGTAAGCCTCCTGCTGGACTCACTGCACACCTACGACTGTGTAGCCAAGTCACACCACACCTCCATTTTTAAGTTCGCTGATGACACTGTTGTGGTGGGCCTGATCTCTCATAACGTCGAGAAGGCCTTCCTGGAGGAGATCAGGAACCTGGAGAACAACCTTCTCCTAAACATCAGAAAAACTAAGGAGCTGATTGTGGACTTCAGCACAAGCAGGTGAGAAATTACAAGCCACTATCATCAGTGGAGAGAGTAGACAATTGCAGATACCCGAGTGTTCACATCACACAGGACCTGTCATGGTCACATTAACACTCTGGTGAAGAGAGCCCTGCAGCGTCTGTTGTTCCTCAGACGACTCAGAGACTTCCACCTACCTGAGAAGGTGCTCAAGAACTTCTACTCCTGCACCATCCAAGCATCCTGTCGGGAAATATCTGCACCTGGTATGGGAACAGCACGAAGCAGGACAGACGAGCCTGACCTGGAGTCTATTTACACCAGGGGTGCAGCACCAAAGCCAGGAAAATCATGAAAGACCTCCCCCATCCCAACAATGGACTATTCTGCTCGCATAAGGCCGACGCAGAGAGAAAGAGGAGGAGCTTCTCTCCTCGCTAACCGGCTGTAGGACTGGACTCTACATATCTCTACACACCATTGCACGTTCACTGAATAACAACATGTATCTGGTCTGGTCTCTCTCACATCACATCACTGTACACTTAATAACAAATACATGCACTTCAATGATAACCTCGTAACTGTTTTGACTGTTCACTGTCAATCCACTCACTGCTGATTTGCACACCTTAAAGTTTTAACTTGATTTTTCATTTTAGTTTTATTCTGGTCGGGAACTGCACAGCAACAAACTGCACGTTGGACTGCGTATGATCGTTTATGTGACAAATAACATTTGAATTTGAGGTTAGATTTAAAGGTAACAGCTGCTCTTTGACACTTGTTATCTGGACAGAGTGTTACTGTAATCTGATTACTTTTTTCAAGTAACGAGTAAAGTAAGGGACTACTATTGCAAAAACGGTAATTAGATTACCGTTACTTTCCCGTAGGAACGCTGCGTTACTGCGTTACTAAAACCGTGATTTTTTGCGAGAATGTCTCACGACAGTGACCTAAGCGAGTGCGACGTTGTGACAACAGCTGTGTGCAGATCAACAATGGATCATATCGAGTGCAGAGAGAGTGTGAGCGTGCAGAGTTTAAAGCGTGGAAGTACTGACCTTTGAGTTTGACTCCATAAAAAGTGACAAAAACATTAGTGTCCGCTGTGCGTGGGAAGAAAACTTCTTTTTACAGCGAAAAAAACCCCTAAACTTCCAACAAGCACGAGTAGCTACGACGTAATGGGAAACTCACAGAGAAACTCGCGGATTCTTCCACTGACCGCGGCACACCTGCACCAGGGTAAACCTCCGCCTACCCCACTCCTGCTTTACAGGTGAAAATAGAGCAAAAGGACCGCTGAGTCTTTGACTTTATTTATTTTCTGCTGTGTTTTACTTGCATCTATTTGAAAGACTGAGTGTAAACACAAAAATATATATTTTATGTGCTGGAATGTGCAGAAAATAGGTTTAAATGTTAAACAATTTCTTCAGTCAGAGAATGTTGATATAATTTAATTTTTGCTTGATGCATAAAGTTAAAGATTAAAACGAATAAAACAAGTTTAAAAAAAAGAGACTTTTCCATCTGATTACATTTTGTATGATGGATTATGTAGAAAAAGTAGAATTGGCTGAAAGATCTATCACTTTATCACCTCTTCAGGTTGTAAATCGTGTTTTTAAAAAGTAATAAGTAACTAATTACTTTGAAAATAAGTAATCAGTAAAGTAACCGGGATTACTTTTTGGGGGATGTAATCAGTAATTAGTTACTGATTACTTTTTTCAAGTGACTTGACCAACACTGATACTGGAACCTAAAGGTTAAATTTAATGTCATTTTAAACCACATGTCGTATTTGTGTGTGATGTCTCTGACATCATTGTGGAGACATTTTCACTGCTTTTTTTAAACAATATTACTTCATTGAAGTTTGCAGACATCCATTAATGCGCAGCTTCTTAAGATCCACCACAGCACTTCAGTTGACTTTGACTGGGCCTTTCAGGAGCCAGAATCTGAGATACTTTAGCAGTAAGGGAACATTTAGTTTTCCCCAAGACTTATCACCCCAGCAATTAATTATTAACATTAATAGGAAAATGAACCCATTCTGCTCATTACAGCTACATATTTTAATTCATGGACTCTACTAGAGCAGCTTTGATTATAGTTCATAATAATTTCTTATTTCATTAACACCTTGGTTAAAAAAATGTTTTTTAGCTAGTCTCTGATTGGCTGCCCCTCATAAACAGAAGATTTGAACTGTGGGTGGGTGGAGCTTCAGCACCCAGGTCATATTGGACCATACTGACGACCATATTGGGGATATGGCGTCTTACTAACATTAGAGCCACGAGCAGAAACTGAACTGAGCGTTCTGACATGCTCGTACGTACACTGGATGTCATTATCTGAGACTTTCAACGATTACGATTTAACAAACAATCCATCCATTCGCTTCCGCTATCCTTTTCAGGGTCGCGGGGGCGCTGGAGCCTATCCCAGCTGTCATAGGGCAAAAGGCGGGGTACACCCTGGACAGGTCGCCATCTGTCGCAGGCCAACACACAGGGACAGACAACCATTCACACTCACATTGACACCTAGTGGCAATTTTGGATTATCCAATTAACCTATCCCCACAAGCTGCATGTTTTGGACGGTGGAGAAGCCGGAGTACCCGGAGAGAACCCACGCAAACACGGGAGAACATGCAAACTCCACACAGAAAGACCTGATGGTGGAATTGAACTCAGGACCTTCTTGCTGTGCGGCAACAGTGCTGACCACCGTGCATGTTTTAACAACATGTATGGGTGAAAATAAAGATGGAGAGCAACAGTGCTCCCCCACCTGATAGAGGTGCTTCCGAGTGAATCTGCCAGAAGCTGCTGGGGGCCGACTGGCTGAGCTGACTGGCCTGCTCAGGCCTGGCCCAGAGCTGGAGTTGGACCTGGGTCTGTGAGCTGGGAGGAGCTCTGAGCCTGGAGGAGAACCAAGGACGCCCAGCTGAGATGAGAGGACGAGGCCTGGCCCAGAGCCTGCTGGCTGGAGCTGGACCGAGCTGGGATCGGACAGTGTCACAGGATATCTGGTGTAGTAGAAGTCCTCCTCTCGCTGGGACTGGTCTGACCCACTGCTGTGCATGTGTGGCAGGGAACACACCAGTGAAACACCAGTGGACACACAGAGAAAAAGAGTGAGTGTGTGTTGCAGAGTTAGTGAGAGCAGCACTTACTACAGCCCAGACTGAAAAGCTCCCTTCCCTAAGCGAGCAGAGCTCTTCCACAACCTGAAAATTTTATTCCTCCTGTTTTTTAATGTTGTTTTGAAGCTGAGAAATGTTCCAGAAGGCCGACCCGTCTGGTTTCGAATTTGGCTCAGACTCCCAGCGAACACCTGAAAACATCAACTTCCGCGTGTCTTAAAGTGACCAATTAATACTTGGTCCCTATTTTTAGTGGATTCCTAACTTTATATGATACGGCATATAAAGCATCATATAAAGTATTTTGGCCATTTGTGCAATGACAGGAATATTTTACTGCTTCCAGCTGCTCCCAACATCATAAAGAAAACAACAGGGAAAAAAAACACGGCATCATCACCAAGAATGGAAAAAATAAAGAATATTCTAAATACACATATTTACACAGTATTGTTCAACCATGAAATAATTGTGGGAAAATTCACATTTTTTGGAAATGGAGCGTTTAGTGAAGTGATGCAATTTTAAATAGAAGATGAAAATATTAATTTGGAATAATATATGAACATGGAGCCTCATGCTACAGTCTGAGGATGAACGTCCAATCCGATTGGCCAGGAACAAGCGTGTGTGCAGTTATTCTCCCCACAGATATTTATTTAAATTTCGACCACTGTCTGCGAGTGGGAGGGTCACATTACACCGCATGGACTAAATGAAACACATTGTGCGCACATAGCAATGTACGTGATTGTGTGACTGCTCTTACTTGTTGCTGTGTTTCTGTACAGTCGCGGTGTGTTTTCGCCTGAACGCACACTGTGATTAGCTGAAAGCGACACCTTTGTTCATTCTGATTATAATAATAGATAATAAGATACGTTCTTGTTTTTGCACACATTTGTGTCAATCAGGCTCCACAGCCTCGGTTGCCTCGCCGAGGTTCATCCTGAGCCAGGAAAAACTTTCAGTGCCCCTCCCACCTGAGCCTCATTTTTGTTATTTTTTTAATCTACTTTAAGCAAAATTGTTCCCACATCTCTGCTAAGAGTGACTGTAGATGCATGAAAAGGTTCAAAGTGCCAGCTCACCCCAGATGCAGCACACGGATGTGTCTTTTTATGCCGACTGAAGACGTGAGGACTTTGCCACAGCTGGGCCACAGGCATCTGTACACACTTCTGACGGAGCTCTGCGGGAGGAAGAGCGCAGACGGAGGGTGAGCGCGCACAGACACATGTCCAAACTGCAGAAAGGCTGTGTTGATTATAGCGGCTTCTTCAGTTTTCCCGGAGCAGCTGTGCACCTTTGGTTTTTTGGCAGCGAGCTCCTCCCCCTGCTCCAGCTCCATGTGCAAGCCTTCGTCGGGGCTGCTGTCCATCTCGGTGACGGACGGCGAGGGCGCCGGGCCTGACGTTGCCGTGGTCCCAGCTCCAGTAGCCGCTGCTGCCGCTGTCTGAGAGCTCGCCTCCGCCGCACTCCATGTCAGCGGGTGAGGATGATGAGCCCAGCTAGAGGAAGGTAGAACCGTGTCTCGTGAGCCAAAGAAACCTCGAGTTTGTCACAGAGCTGAGGGAAACGGACTCCCGCATTAAATCGGTGTCTATCAATTTAAACCCTCTGGTTTAAATATCAAATATTCTCTGTTGCTTTTTGGGATGAAAACAGCTTCTGGTGCTGTGTCCCCTCTGCCGTCCTACAGTGAACAGCAGGCCTCCTGTGCTGCTGCCAGGCCTGTTTTCAGCATCTGTTTACTCCCTCCTTCCTGCTCTGTTCCCTCTTCACACATATTTTGTTTATGCTCTGCCAAAACATTAAAAATAGCAGGTAATGTTTATCAAGCTAATAAACGCTGAGTGAATAACACACATGGATTGGAGCTGGAGTTTCCTTTGTGTCACAGTTGAACAGCAGCTGTGGTGAAACAGCTGTTGGGCATCGAGCTTAAGGAGTTCCTCCATCAACTCCTGTTCTCGATTCTTATCGTCAGATCTGTGCTCTACAACATCTCTGTTACAGCAATATTATAAAAGTTAGTTGAGTTATAAACTATTAATAGTTACTCCATGCCGTGTCAAACTGCTGACCACCTACTGGACCAAAGTCCACATTATTATAACTGAAGACTGGACAAATAAAACCTGTTTATTTTCTATAAAGCTTTATACAGTCACAGCTCTGCTAAAACCTTTAATGAAGTGCGTGCCATATATGTTCACCTCTTCCTGTTAAAAGGAAGTTTTTCCTTCCCACTGTCACCAAGTGCTTGTTGACTGATTGCTGAGGTGACTGCTATTGTGACTTGGTGCTATATAATTAAATGAATATTTATGGTTGAGGAGATACAGACCAGGTCCAGGATCTGTTTGTGGAGAGCTCTGAACCACGGGGCTGCAGGACAGACTGGTCAGGACCATGGCTGCCATGATCTCATCCATCTCCACCGACTCCGGGCTGCGAAAGCTAAAGATAACATGCAGAAATATTCCGGTAAAAAATCAGGTCCGCCCTCACATTCGCTGACCAAGCAGCAACATCTGAAACCTGGAACCAACAAATGCAGTTCCTCTACTGGCCACTTGAGGCCGTCTCAAACGAGTCTGTCCCCATAGAGTCCCATATTAAAAGGCTCAGTTTTACTGCAGACACAAACGTGTAGGCTTTAGCCCGTATGGATAGTTTCCCTCTTCATAACAACAACACAGGGGTCAAAACTGAATGCTGGTCACAGTAGCTATAGGTGACCTGCTGCCCTCGGCCATTTTATGCTTTTGCTGCCTTTAGGAGCCTTTTTAATGAAACATACTAGGGCTGCCACAAACGATTATTTTGATAGTCAACTAATCAGATCATCATCCATTGGACATAAAACGTACAGCTTACTGCACCAGCAGCATCTGCTCTTATATAACTATCATTAGCTTACAGCTTTAAGTGTTTAAGGTCTGTGCTAACTAAAAATAAAGACAAGATGATAGTTTATTAAATTTTAATGACATTTGCAGATTGTTTCGGTGAAGTTTAATAAACTCCTTGCTATCTAAAATATAACAGGACACCGGAGTAAATTCTGGAGCATCTCACACTTCTGATAATCAGCTGTCTGCTTGACGTTTATTCAGCTGTGTAAAAACTATAACTTTCATCTCAGCCAAACCGATTTACTCAGGAACAAATAAAATACAAAAAAAAAGCCAAACAATAACATTTTAAGTTATCTAAGTGACTCATATATCATGTTTAACCTGAGTAGCAAAAGACAGCAGTGGGTTTGAAAACGATTTGCTGGGAGTCCGGTGTTCTCACGGCTCTAGTGAGCCTAGCCCCCGGCTCGCTATCGAGCTAGTGGGTAACAGACGTCTCCGAAAACGTCGGAGCGCTTTTGAAAATATGTGGTGTCTTGATGAACTGAGCAGATATTTGATGTTTACACAGCTACATTCCCGCCTGAAAATGTGTTAAACGTTTATTTTGTGACCCAGAAAGAATAATAAGAGTAATATTAAAACTAACTAGCTGCCGCCATTGTTGGAAACTAAGCTGGGCCACGCTATGAATTCTGGGACACAGCTTCTTCTTCTTCGGGGTTTAACGCAGCTGGCATCCTTGTACATGCAGTGCTGCCATCTTCTGTTTCAGTCCGTTATTACACTCTTAAATCTTGCTACTTATTCCTGCGTCTTTTGTGATCTTACAAAGCTTCAAACGACGCGTCGACTATTAAATCAGTCGTCGACGATTTTGATAGTCGACTAATCGTGGAGCCCTAAAACACACACGTCTGTGCTCGAGCTTCTTTCAGCCACTGACATTCTGTTGTTTATCATCAGACTGCTGCTAACCACTTAGTAGTCTGAGGTGCAGTTTGCTAATCAAATGTGTTAGCATTAGATGCTAACTTAGCACGTACAGTAACTTGTGCCTCCCAAAACAAAGAAACAAATCCACAACACGGCTAACACTGAGCTTTCAGTAAAGGGTGACATCATCTTTTCTATATGCACACGTACAGTCTATGCCTCGCTGTGCCTCACCTGTATGGCGCCTGCGCGGTGACGAGGTGCATTGTGGGTCCCACTGGCAGCGGAGCAGCCAGGTTGCTCTTGTAACGGCCGCTCTCAGCCTGGACGCAGCTCTGTCCGTACACCTTCAAAGCGAGGCAATGACACAGTGAGTTCCTCGTTCCAGCCTGGAAAAGTTGTCCATTTAGTGTCTCACCCTGGTTCAACAGAAATCGTCCACTCAGCTCGTCAGTGGACGCTGACACAACAGACAAAACACTGTTCAGGCCTTATACGGGTTAAGCTGTTTACATGCGTCTGCGGTACCCTGCTCCTGAGCCCCACTGTGGCCATGAATAAAGCAGTTAAGAGAATATTTCCTGTCCATCTGTGGCGTCCTGCTCGCAGACGGCATAATCTGCCAGTGAAACACGTGCAAGGAAGTGGCTGCCAGCCTCTGACCAGGCAGTGCATTACATCTAACACAGTGGAAAGAAATAATGATCGCATCAAGTTCTTTCTCAGTTTGGGTTTGAACTTTGGGACGCGTACCTTTGTGCTTATTGTGGTTCTAATGTGCTCAAAATGCCATGTAAGCCTGAATTTCACACACTGACACAACAGAATACATGTCATCTCTGTCAGGCTTCTCACCAGAGCGTGTTGCACGCCAGGCCCGTGCTGCCCTGCTTTGTCTTAGAGACGCATGCCTGCCTCCCACCGGGCAGGCCGCCGTCCCGTCTGGCCCCGCTCCAGCTCTGTCCTCGGGTCCCGTAGCTGCCATTGGTGCTGCCGCGCACACTGAGGGACTCACAGTGTGACACCTCCCTACACACAGGACGCCGAATGAAAATATGTCACAGCGTTATTCATCTTCCCACAGCCACGCAGCTAAAGTGCACCTCGGCGATGTCGGACTGTGACGTTACATAAACTTCACCACAAACAAACATCCTTCGGTAACTTTGGTCGTAATTTCTGCCCAGCTTCCCTCTTAAAAGGATTAAATGATGAAGGCTATTTTCATCCAAGGAGAATATGCTCGCGGTGAACCACGGCATCAAATGACAAATATGCTCGGTCAATAAATACGGGGATGTAAACAGACGGCAGCTTTGCTGACGAGTGACTGTTGGCAAACACTCGTTCCATCTGCATCTCTGCGCCTCACAGTGCAGCGCAACAACACCACAGGAGATTTGAAAAGGATTGCAGGGATCTGAAGGGAACACAGACTTGAGTGGATTTTGATCTGATCGCAGTCTTGCTGGAGTTTGCTGTCTACTCCGATAAAGTAGGAAACTCATGACGCCTTAGAGAGACCTAATTTGGCATTTGGGTAGATTCAGTGTGGCCTGTAGCCCACAGAGGGTGGGGCAATGCTGCATTCAGTAAACGCAGGAATAATCCAGATATTTTGGCGACTTTGCAGTGGATTCACAGTGTTCTGTGTGTTTTGGTGCTTTTTGACAAAGTCAATGACCCAAATTTTCTAAAGAGTGCATTTTGGAGTACATTCATGCTTACATCAATAACAATGCAAAAAATCTAAACTATATGTATAAAAGATCAGAAACAACATGGATTACTGCTTTATAAGAAAGCCCTCCACAAAGCCAGAACATCTTACTATTCATCACCGATTGAAGAAAATAAGAACAACCCAGGTTTCTCTTCAGCTCTGTAGCCAGGCTGACAAACAGTCAGAGCTCTGTTGAGCCAACCATCCCTTTAACGTTAACTAGTAATAACTTCATGAACTTCTTCACAAATAAAATTTTTATCATTAGAGAAAAAATTACCAGTAATCATCCCACAGATGTAATATTATCTACAGCTACTCTTAGTACCATCGATGTTAAGTTAGACTCTTTTTCTCCAATTGATCTTTCTGAGTTAACTTCAATAATTACTTCCTCCAAACCATCAACGTGTCTTTTAGACCCCATTCCTACAAAACTGCTCAAAGAAGTCCTGCCATTAATTAATGCTTCGATCTTAAATATGATCAACCTATCTCTAATAATCAGCTATGTACCACAGGCCTTCAAGCTGGCTGTAGTTAAACCTTTACTCAAAAAGCATCTCTAGACCCAGCAGTCTTAGCTAATTATAGGCCAATCTCCAACGTTCCTTTCATATCAAACATCCTTGAAAGAGTAGTTGTCAAACAGCTAACAGATCATCTGCAGAGGCTTATTTGAAGAGTTTCAGTCAGGTTTCAGAGCTCAGCACAGCACAGAAACAGCTTTAGTGAAGTTACAAATGATCTTCTTATGGCCTCTGACAGTGGACTCATCTCTGTGCTTGTCCTGCTAGACCTCAGTGCAGCGTTCGATACTGTCGACCATAATATCCTATTAGAGCGATTAGAACATGCTGTAGGTATTACAGGTACTGCA